CGGGGTGACCGGCGCTGCCGGGCACGGCTCCGGCCCGGAACGGCGGCGCTCCGGCCGAGGGCTTGGCTGGCAACCAGCTATTAAAGGCAGCGGGCGTCCAGCGCCCCGGGGCGCCGGCCAGCTCCCTCCGCCTCCGTGTATGCGGGGGAACGGCAGCTCGTTTGAAAGTTACTTGGCTTGTAAATGTTTTGAGACGGGGACCATTCATCTGACGCGTGTTTATACTGTCAAGCACAACGGGGCCTTCATCTGCGCTGGCACTGCAGTAATACAGCAATCACGGAAAGCGCAGCGCTCTCCAGGCAAAACCAGAAGCGTACGGCAGCAGGAGAAATACGAGCTCCGGCCTTAGACTGGTTCTTCTGCAGTTAGGTGAACAGCGCGGGTCTAAGGCTTTGGCCCAGCCTGCTTTGGAAAACACAGCGTGTCAAACAGCGTACTTTTCATTTTCTATAGAAGTTGTGATGCTCAGCCTACAAGACACTAGGCATTGACTGAGTGTATCAGCTGGAAGTGACTCAAAACTCCTTTTTGCTATGCTTCGAGAAATGAAAGTGACAGGAACAAAAAAGACCAGACTCTCGATGAGTCCTTTCCCACCAGCTTCTTCTACTTTTGCAACAGCACTGGAGTTAAGTAGATAAAAAGTACTGAATTCCAGAATACTAGTATTTTGCAGGTTCCTGAAAGTTTGGCGTGCTTCAGTCTGAGGAAAAGCAGTTAACTTCACGGAGATGAAGAGAGGTCTTAAGAACCAGTGATAGGGAGAAAGTATGAAAGCTGACCACAATTTCCCCAGTAATATTATGGATTACTGTGATCAAATAGCTTCTTCCTCAGGTGTGGAAACTCTGTAAAAGAGAGATCTCTGGCACTCCAGTGAGAAAACAGTAATTTAAAACTATCTTGAACTGGATTTACTTGTATTTTTTCTAAAGCAAAGTCTCAATTCTCACAAAGGTTGGGTTTGGTTGGGGTTTTTTTTCCCTTGTAACAGGTAAAGTTGTACTTGACTTAAGTCTCTTGCAGAATAAATTGGAAATGGGCCAGTGTGTCAGGGAAAAGTCTATTCACCTCCCTCTGTACAAAATTATACTATCTGCTTTTGAGGCAAACTTTTCAGCTTTGAGAAGTCTGCAGTGTATTTGGTGATACAAAGTCTAACAAAGTGAAAGGAATTTTTTTTTGTTGGCTCTCATTTCTCTGATGTTAACACATTTATTAGTCATTCTGCACATTTCTTCATTATTAGCATTGGGTTATTTGATGTCACTAGCCAAATACGGTGACAAGGTGACCACTCTGCCTCTGGAATCAGATATACCCTATAATCTTCCCTTTTGAAGTGCATTTTGTATTTCTTTAAAAAGTACAGTCCAAAAGAATAAACTGGAATCATGATTAAGAGGGTTTTTTTGGTGGATAAACTATCTTGCAAGAATTCCCTGAATTGTTTTCTTGTAAAAAGTGCAATACTTTAGGTTTCCCCACATACCAAAGAGTGAAAACTTGATAGATCTGCCATATAATGTTAAGAAGTTACTCAGTTAGCAATTCCACTAAATATTTTCCATCTCCAAAAGTCCCTTTAGTCTCAACCAGAAATTTAGTTGCATGAGACAGTCATGTATTTGCAAAACCTTTGCTAGAAAAAGGAGGGATTGATATTTGATGTGTAGCTGATCACAAAATATCAAGTCTTACTAGGTATCGGTTTTTTGCAAGTAAAGGCCATTACTACTATAGTATCCAGCTATTGCTGTTTTATAGGTTCTCTCAGATGGAAAATGAGCAGTTCACAATCACTGGGGGAGAATAGGGAGCATTTGAAGCTTTCTCTACATTCATACATTAGAAGAGAATAACCCAGAGTTTTTTCTCACTGTCTTCTTAATTTGACTGTATTGGGCTTTTTTGTCTTTCTTCCTATTTTTATATTCACTGAGCTTACTTACTTTCTTTTTCCTTGATTTTCTCCATGCTGTTATTTCACTGTACATTTCCATAATATTTTGGCTTCTCTGTTTAGTTGCCCGAATCCAACGGCTACTTTAGCGTGACATTACCAGTTGCTGCAGCATCTTCTCTTTCCTGTGTTCCCACCTTATCCTTCTTAGAGGATGGTTGTTTCCATTTCCTTATTGGCGTTTGAGAATCAGAAAACTTAAAAATGAAGAGGCTGCTTCAGATAATTAGTCCATCATCATAAGCTGGCAAAAAGTCTTTAATAGAAATGTAACTACAGTGTACCCATTAATTATAAATTTGCAAAGTGACAAATCTTCCACATGCCACAGAAGATTGTTTTCAGACCTCTGCTGTACAAATGTTTATTTATAGAAGGATGTTTTTCTTTGCTTTTCAATGCACATTTTCAGTTAAATAAATTAATCTAGTATTCTCTGTAATGGAGCCTTTGTATCAGACAGAATCAGAAAGGCAGAAGAGGCTCCAGAAGATCCAGTAGCCTTAGGGATTGTTAAGGAGCAGGCTTATCTCTGGCAAATGCTTCTCTTGGAGGCTGGAGGGCACACTGCCTAACCAGCTAGCAAAGGATTAGAGAAAATGGACAAAGACATGCTGGAATTAGGGATCTGTGAGGGAGAACATGGCTTGTTCCTAAGTCTTATCAACTCCTGAAGGTGTTGCCAGCAAATGCTCTACACCTGGAATCAAACAGGCCAGAGGCAGAAGGAATGAGGACCTCACTATTTGTGAATTGATGCTGCACTTCACTAGCCTTGCTTTTATAAATTTATTTACATATCAATATTAATTTAAGAAAGCTCCACTAGTCTTTTTCTGATCATTGAAATCTATATAATTGAAATCTGTAAATATATATAGCCTATAAATATGGCCAGGGTTCAAGGATATAAAAAATATCAAGTGATGACAAAGGATATTATTTGGAATGGCAGTGTTACGCTTGGATTGTCACTGAACTAGAAAACGGTGTCCTTTGCCAGGACTAAGCTGCTGGACTTAAAATCAGCTAGAGTCTGTTAGGTAACAATATAAAAGTCAAATGGGAACTCAAATGTCTAGACCTGCTCCCCTGATGGTTCCTAACTTGCTCTCCACTATTATCCAGGCCTCTGTACATCTAGATGCTTGAGATGTTCACTAACAGAATAAACTTAAGACTCAGGAAAACTATAGATTTCAAAACGCTAAAACTTTTAGGCCAAAGAGCTCACTAGGACAGGGGAGGATGGGAATAGATGTCTTTGGGGTCACAGAGGTAGGAGCATAACGTAACAGCTCACTGGTTAA